AAAACACCAATGAGAGACATGGTCCTCTCGAGCATCGGCTGATGAGGTGTATTGCAGCCAAATAACGACAGTGATGTGGAGATTGAAGTAGGGAATGTGCAAGCACTTGGAGCATCCTGACTGCCACTATCAGGCACACATTCGGCACTGGTTCCGACCCACTTACTCCTTACGCTCTCCACAATCCAATCCTCATAGTGTCGGCTGTGGACTTGAGCTATGGGTGACGTCAAACCCGACCTTCCAGTGTTGGCACAAAGAGATCGTCCTGCGTGATAATGGTTCCTTGGTCTTAGTCGCGCACTCAATCCCCACCTCCGCAACACAGCAATTCGACTTGTCACACAATGCAGTGGCAAGCGGAGTCGCCACGGAAGTCACGGCAGGTGCGATGCAAAAGGCATGTAAGCCTAACTGCCGGTCGAATCTGACTATGTTGGCGTAGAAGTGGGAGTGGTAACAGAGAAGGTGCGTGCTAGTCAAGTGTTAACTGTCCAGAGAAGGGAAACTTGAAAGAACTTGAATGAGGCTTTGTGTCGAAGGAGAATGCTTTAAACATACTCAAGTGGACGTTATGAGGAACAATCAATGCTGATGGTGAGAACGCATTTATTGGAGCTTTAGCACGAGTGCAGACACATGACAGACTTCCCACGCACACCGCTGTGAATCCACATGCACTACTCTCGCCACCTGTCGTCAGTTACGTCAATTTGCTCCCTGTGTGTGGAATTGGCGATTGCAACGCCTCCATTTGGTCGCATTTGGTCTCTCAAACTTCGGTACAACTCGGGATTACCCACGTCGCCTCGTTCAACACAGCTGCGGTGTTAATAAGGCAATCTGTTTTTGTGACATGTTGCCTGCAGAAGAGAGTGTTCGTGTCACCTGATGGTGGTGGAGCGGAGGGGAGGCGCATATTGCTTCAGTTGAAGGAGACAGTTTGTTGCGCTACAACCCGGCGTTGCATAACTGTCGCCACTGTTTAAAGTGCGCGACCTTGATCAACACTGATTTCTTGCTAAAGCAGCAAGTTTATTTTGCTACCGGTGTATGGTGTGAGACTTGGAAATCTGTGAAGCACATGCACTAACTAGAATTGCTTGCAGTATATTTGGGCCAAGGGATCTTGTGCCTCGAAATGCAACCCATGCGCAAGTAGGAACACGCAAGAGAGGGTTACCCTGACGAGATCACAGGGAGGGTAAGGAGGCAGAAAAGAGACTGTTGAATGAAAGGACGCACAGACGCATGGAGGCGCGGACGCATTGAGAGGCAGGCAGAGTGGAATGGGGATGGTGGAGTTGGAGGTGTGAGCAAGGAATGGACAGACGGACAGAGAGGTGAGGGGATGGAGGAGTGCGCTTACCGTGGCAAAGTAGACCAGTCCGTAGATGGTGGCCATGTGAACGTGTCCGAACACTCGAGTACACGTGCCGGGCACCACAACGAAATGTGCGGAGAGGGAGAAGAAGAGCACGAACACCCAAATGGCGTAGAGTGGTCTGCCTGCTGGACCTGCAGTCACGTAGGGGTAGGTAATGAACGTCACTGACCACAGCAGGAGGAAGCACAGCATGGGACACTGAAGAGGTGAAATAGACACTGTAAAGCCAGTGTACCTTCTACATTGATGCTACACACTCACGAGTCTGCGATCACAGATGGAGTGGTGCTGCCGACAAATCAACTTCCACTCACATTGAGGCATGCAATGCGCCTCTCTCCTCCCATCTCAATGCTGTCACACAATTGTTACGCCAGGTGCTCATTGGCAGTGGCAGCAGTGGAGGATGACTACAGCCGCACCAATCAACACGCAACGTGCTTTATCGTTGGCGCACAGTGACCTATCAGCACATGTCGTGAGTGTATAATGGACAATGGTTGTCCTCCATTAGCTGACCGTTGCGCCACTCTCCACAGTTGCAGTCAACTATGCTACTCACATTCACAGGCAATTCTGTGGAGAGGGCGGAGGAAGCGAGTATGGAACGAGATTTGGGAAGCCCAGACGAGGGATGGTCTTCCAGTCGACATGCAGCTTCATTTGCATTGACAAGTGTGTCAGCATGCCCTACCTTCAGCAAGTGAGAAGCGATACCTCTCTCTTTTTCTACCGACAGATGACACACACACACACACAGTTTGTCGAGGTGGGTTTTTGGAATTAAAAATGCAAACGAGGGAGCGTGTGTTTGAATGCGTGTTTTGAGTAAGTGGAGTGTAATTAGTTGGCCTCGAGCAATTTGTTTTGCAAGCTAACGATGGAGGGTGGATCTAGCATTGGGTTGGAGGTCTGTAGGTGTGTTGTCTGCATGGCCAGTGGGGTGAGGTATGGAATGCAATGATGGATGACAACAACAACAACAACAACAACAACAACAAGGAAGTTGATGACGACGACAATGATGCCGATGATGGTGATGGTGATAGAGTGTTGATGCTGGTGATGTGCATTCCTAGAGTCAATTCATGCACGATTCCAATCATCAACTGGAGAGTAGCTTTCTAGACAACCGGTGAGCACATCTATTGTGGCAATCATTTCGCTGCAGGCAAGTTGGCGCGCAGCCAATTACTCCTGAACTATCAATGTTGATGTAATGGTGCCACAGTTGGGGTTGGTGACGACACGACAAAGAATCCGCAAGAGCAGTGTGCGAGATAGGGAGGTTGGTCAATGTGGTGGGGAATCGCGATGTGTTCTATTGGCATTACTTGTCGGGGAAGAGGAGGAGCATGGACTGAGCGAGTGTGAGGAACACTTGTGCAGAGGAGATTGATTACCCCCGAAGATGCAAGCCGCAGCACTAGGGAAGGAGCTATCGGCTCAGATAGTGGTGAACGAGGTGGGCCTGCGATGGCAAGCGCGTCGTTGCATTTCCATGCAATCGGGAAGATCAAATGGAATGCCACGTGGTTGAGTTCGGTGGGTAAAGCGTCTTCTCGACACACACGCACGACACTCATTCGTATGCGGACAAACAAAGGAGAGGACTGAGGCCGAGGCAGCGACAACCCAATTGACGGCCAGTGGTCGAGGTTGTGATCGTTGAGGGTGGTTGTGGTGTTTGAGGTGACTCAATGCAGACGTAGTTGGGAAGAGGTAAATGCTGGTGGTTGAGGGAAGTGAAGAGGGTTGTCCTTATCACAGAAGGGTGGGCGTTGCTGTGTTGATGCGGAAAAGTGTTATGGCTATATGCTCAACATGCTACTTGGCAGTGGTGGTAGCGGGGTGGTGAATATCGTTGTGGTGATGGGGATGGAAGGGAGTGGTGAGGGTGATGCATTTGCCATTTGATGATGTGGTTAGTCAGTGGAGGTGGTTGAAGGAATCGGGATGTGTTGAGAGAGGTGTTCTGTTAGGTATGTCGCTGTACGTGGTATTAAGTGTGCGCGTGTGTGTGCCTTTGGAGTGGGCATTTGCGTTGCTTTGATAGGGGTGCGGAGGGAGATGCCAACATAGTGAAGGTGGGAGGTTGGAAGCGGTTTGTCCTGAATGCAGATTAACAGACGCGCAATCCTGCTGGATGCCGCCAATTGTCTGACAAACTGAGGAGTCTGTCTGTTGCAAGCCAAATCATCGCGGCATGCCACAAACTGTTGGAACACTTTCTTACTGTTCAACATGACTGTCACACACACGCAACTTGACATGCGACATTAATGCGTCGTCTTCGGTCCACTGCCTCACAGTGGGTTGCATCGGTTGGTGTGCTGGTTGAGTGTTTTGTTGAGGAGTCTTCGAAGTGAGCACACGTCGAGGCATCACCGTGGCAATCGTATGACCCCGTTCACGTGCAATGCTGTGGCACACTGTAATTCGTGTTGCCAATGCAAGAATACCACGGTCCGAATTGAATCGTGTGTCGGTGGCAGCCGAATTGCCACCATAATTATGCTATCTTGTCGTCCCGCTCATTTGCTGTCCAACGTAAGAAGAATGGAACGGCTTTTGTTGGAACGCGATCGTGACCACGCAAGAGGGAGCATGGGATGGAGATGGAGGTGGGCAGAGAATAAACCGTTTGGAGGGGTACAGGTGAGAATGGTTAGTCAATGTTTGTCCAAAAAGTGGTTGGTGTGGGCAAGAGGATTGAAAGGTGTCCAGAAATGTGAACATCCAAGACAAGACTCCGATGCAGACACTTGTGTGGGGTGATAAACAGACATGGCACGACAACCACCGGAATCGTGTAGAGCTTGCATACCCAAGCGTGAAGGGAATTGCGAGCATCACACCACGTAGATGTTTGGCTACCTACGAGAGCGGTAACATTGGAAGCGCTGTCCACGACAATTATGCTGTCACTTCACTGGCACCACTGCATGAGCGTGTGTGGGATGGCGGATGATGCATACCCTCTATGAAATGATAAGCAGCATGGCCTTTTTCACCTCGCGTGCGCAGCGACTCTTGAGACTGTGCTCAACACTGTCACTATGTGATAAGACAATCAGATCCACCCTGCATCTTGCCAACTTTGGGTGGTGCAGAAAATGCAGTGGTGTGTGCTCACACCCAATGAGGCTCAAGGCCATGCGATTGTCGGACTTCATGAGTCCCAACGAGTCCTGCCTCTTAAGCAGTGATGGTTAAGTGGTATGGATTCCATGCTCGTGAGTGGAGTGTGAGATGCGCGACACCGATAGTGGCGGGAGTGTTGGTGGAGCGGAAGGAAGCGTGAAGTGGTCGAACATGTTGGTGCTAAATGACTGTGTCATGCCACCTGATAGGGGAGAGGTTATGGCAAGTGATTTACACTAGTGGTGTAAAAATGATAGAAGCAGTTCTCTCTCTCATTCCTTAGGCTTCCTCGATGTAGCTCTGTTCTGTTGGTGGGTTTGCAGTGTCTCATAGTTCTCACGTCTGCCATGTGATAGAGGCTTCACACTAACCACATAAATGGTGTTTGAAGCGCAATGGGCGTGTCGGTTGTTTCGCCATCGCACTTTTGCCAAACCCACTGAGACGGGGTCCCACAATCACCGGCTTTGTGCCGCAGATCGCCAACTTGGAGTCGATCAGTGAGCGATACAGCTAACGATGCCAACCAAAGGGACCACGTGATTTGGAGATTTCCCTTCCCCACATAACAGAAAGGAAAGCGCTGCCAGCGTCTATCACACACCCTTACCTTTGTCAACCGGACTGGACTATTTCGTGG